AGGTTTACGTTTATGTGGGCCGCAAAAATACCTTAAATTTTCATAGAAACGTAGGTTTATTTTGAAAAATACAGTATAATCCCCCAGCACCCCCTCTACTAAACCACAGCACCCTCTCTACTAAATCCCAATCCCCCACCTCAACTAAACCACAGCACCCCCCTCTACCACCCTGTGCCAAATCTGATCCTCCCGCTGACACACACACATACTCACAGACGATAGACACACACACTCTCTGACAGACACATACAGAGACACATACACACATTCACTGAGACACACACACACACTCACTGAGAGACACACACTGAGAGACACACACACTCATTGACAGACACACACACACTCACTGACAGACACACTCACTCACTCACACACTCACTGACAGACACACACACACTCACACACTTACACATTCTTGCACACACATACTTTACTTTATTGCTCTGGGGTCCTTCCTGCTCCTCACTGCTCCCGCGTGCAGTTTAGTGATGCTGGGTGCCGGAATATGACGTCATATTCCGCGCCCGGCTTCACTACAGACAGCGGGGGAGCAGTGGGGAGCAGGAACACTGAGCTCCCTCGCTGCTTCCACCGTTCCTTCCTCCCCCGCTGGGTAAGTGTTAGCAGAGTAGGCACCTGCAATATGGGGAAAGCAGGTGCCTACTCTGCTATAACATCAAGCATGTACTTGCGGCTCGCTGGCCCGCAAAGATGGTCCTTGCGCAACCCGCAAGTTTGACATGTTTGGGCTAGATGGTGTTTTTAACACTATAGGGTCAGGAATTCATGCTTGTGTTCCTGACCCTATAGTGTCCCCTTAACTCAAGTTATAGATGATTTTCAATGTTTTATTCAAAGTTATAATTTCTAGAGCATTGATAGTTATCCCTAATGACAAAAACACAGTGGCGTACTAATGGGGGGAAGGGGAGGCGGTCCGCCCTGGGTGCCGATTACAAGGGGGTGCCACAACCAGGGCCGGCTTTAGGATGTGTGAGCTGTGCGGCAGGTACAGGTTGCCATGGCAGCTGCACAGCTCACACACGCAGGGGCTGCAGAATTTTAAAACCAGCCATCTGCACATAAGAAAAGTGGGGCAGGGCTAATCAGCACTGGGGCGGAGCCAAACCAACAGCGGGGGCAGAGCTAAGCACGGCCTCCACCCGCTGCTGTTACTGCCGCACATCAAGGGGAAGCAGGATGGAGTCCCTGCTTCCTCAACTTACAGACTCCAGGAGCTTCAATGAATCCATTCCTCCGGCCCATACTGTCTGTAGGTAAGACAGTGTGTGTGTGTGAGTGTGACTGTCTGCCTGTGACTCTGTGTGTGTGTGTGTGTGTGACTGTCTGCTTGTGACTCTGTGTGTGTGTGTGATTGTCCTGCCTGTGACTTTATGTGTGTGTGTGTGTGTGTGTAACTGTCTGTCTGTGACTGTGTGTGTGTGTGTGTGACTATCTAACTTTGACTGTTTGCATGCAGGGCCGGACTTGGAACTAAAAGCAGCCCTGGAAAAAAATTCTATACCAGCCCAATAATGCATCACGCCAGGATAGTGTGCTGATATAGAGGGTGAAAAAATAACTTGAAATTGAAAACTCTTACTCCAACGAAAGAACGCATATAGGGCTTTAAAATAAACAAAAGAGCGCCTTTATTTTAAGTAGACGTACATTTGCATGTAATCAATGTTTCAGTACAACTACTTTGGCCTATTAAGGACATTTTAGTAATGGTACTGAAATGCTGAATGTCTGTAGTTGCACAACTAAAAAAAAATGAAGTGATCTTGTTTATTTTTAAGTTCTATGGGTGCGCTCTTCACTTTGAATATGTTATTGTGCATGCAACTAGCAACAAGACTGGGCCAATATGTGCTCATTACATTTATGTGTGCATTATGCATATATAAATGTATATTACTATATGTGTAAATATTACAGGCATAATTATATGTTACTAATACACACATCAATATACATGCATATATATATATATATATATATATATATATATATATGTGTGTGTGTGAATTACTGTCAGGATCACATCAATTTACGACTATTACCTTTACCTCGTTTAGTGTATCTTGTCTCCAATTGTCTCCTTTTTTTCTCTTACAGCAACCCTTGTGCATCTTTTACTTCATCCCAGTCCCTGTGTGTTTCTTTTTACCCATCTCCAGCCTCTGTGTTTCTCTTTCCCCTAGCCCCTATTGTGTTGTTCTTAGCCCCAGCCACTTTGTCTCTTTCTCCCCTTCCAAATCTCATCTGTGTGTCTCTTTCCAACTCCAGACTCTGTGTGCCTCTTTCTCTTCTCCCAGCCACTCTCTGTCTCTTTTTCCTCAGCCCGGCGTTGCCTCCCACAAATCTTGTGTCACTTTGTTCCCCTTCCCTACTGTATGTCTCTTTGTCCCCCCAACAAACCTTCTGTGTGTCTCTTTCTCCCCTCTCCTCCCTGTGTCTCTCTTCCCCCTCTCCTCCCTGTGTCTCTCTTCCCCATCTCCTCCCTGTGTCTCTATCTTACCCCTCTGTCTCTTTGTACCCCCATCCCCTGTGTCTCTCTATTACCCCCTGTCTATTTGTCCTCCCTTCTCTGGTGTCTCTCTATTACCCCATCTGTCTCTGTGCCCCCCCTTGTCCTGTGTCTCTCTATTACCCCTCTCTTTGTCCCCTCAGCCCCTATGTCTCTCTATTATCCCTCTGTCTCTTTGTCCCTTCCTGGTGTCTCTCTATTACCCCTCTCTTTGTCCCCATCCCTGTCTCTATTACCCCCTCTGTCTCTCTGTGTCCCCATCCCTGTGTTTCTATTACCCCTCTATTTGTCCCCCCTCTCCCTTCTTCCTTCCCCTTCCCCTTTTTTTCTGTGTGCCTGCTGACCTTGTTACAGGAGGACTGAGGGAGGGGGCGGAGCTAACTACCATGCTCCCTCGCAGTTCCCATAATTCCCAGCATCTACACATCATAGAGTAGTGATTACCCTATGATGTGTAGATGCTGGGAATTATGGGAACCGCGCGGGAGCATGGTAGTTAGCTCCGCCCCCTCCCTCAGTCCTCCTTGTCACGTATTCATGCGCTTATAAAATGTGGTTAATGACATTTACTGTACACACAGGAAAAGTTGTGCCGAGCAGCAACCTAATCCACAGAAAGGTTAATGCTGAGCAGCAAATTGGAACCTGCTAACTGCCTTTGTGTCAGGATTACTGTTTGATCCAGCACGTAGAACTGTACAGCACGGATGACAAATAAGTAACGTATTACTGGTCCTTAGAATGGCCGGATTTAACGTACAAAGAATAGTCAAAAATACTAGCCGAGGTCAGGGAACACAGAAAGGGACACAGCGATGAGGAAAGCCAGGAGTCAGGATACCAGAGTATAGAGAAGTCAATAAACAAAGCCAAAGTCAAAAACCAGGTAGAAAACTATAAACAGGAACGCGCTCTCAGACAACCACAAGGGAAACCACGACAGGGCACTGAGCAGGCTGAGAACTGGGCCTAAATACCCTCCTTTAGTTCTGATAGGCTGTAACCGGCCTTTGACCCCAAAGTCAGTTACCAGGTTTCATTTGCATAATTGCTGCTCAGCATTAACCCTTCTGTGGATTAGGTTGCTGCTCGGCACAACTTTTCCTGTGTGGACAGTAAATGTCATTAACCACTTTTCTATAAGCGGATGAATACGTGACACTTTGGAGTCAAAGGCCAGTTACAGCCTACCAGACCTAGAGGAGGGGTATTTAGGCCCAGTTCTCATCCTGCTCAGTGCCCTGTCATGGTTTCCCTTGTGGTTGTCCGAGAGCGCGTTATTGATTCTGGTAATTCTGGTTATTTGACTTTGGCATTGTTTTTGACTTCCCTATTTTCTGGCATCCCTGACTCCTTGCTTTTCCTTATCGTTGTGTCTCTTTCTGTTTCCCTTGACCTCGGCTATTCCTGACTATTCTTTGATACGTTAGTCCGGCCATTCTAAGGTCCGGTATACGTTACCTATCAGTCCTCTGTGTTCCACAATATGCTGGATCATACTGTAATCCTGAAACTCCTGTGCTGACAGCTATACTGCTGTCAGTATCAGTGAGTGTGCTGCTGGATCGCTTAGGCGGCCGCCCGGCACACTCACTGATACTGACAGCAGCATAGCTGTCAGCACAGGAGTTTCAGGATTACAGTATGATCCAGCATATTGTGTAACACAGAGGTCTGATAGGTAACATATACCGGACCTTAGAATGGCGCGGCCCACCGGGAAATTTCCCGGTATCCCGGTGGGCCAGTCCGGCCCTGTGTGCATGTGACTGTCTGCCTGTAATTGTATGTGTGACTGCCTGTAAATGTTTGTGTGACTGTCTGCCTGTAACTGTGTGTGACTGTTTGCCTGTAACTGTGTGTGTGACTGTGTGCGAGTAACTATGTGTCTGGGACTGGACTCTGAAGACTGTTGGTAATATTGTTGTATAAAGAAAATGAATTCTGTTGTAAGGGGTTGAAAGGGGGCTTTAGAGGGAGAGTCAGGTTTTTTGGGGAAACGGGGTGCAGGAGTTTTATGGAAGAAAGGTGCAGGGGTTTGTAGAAGGGGGACAGGTGTATAAGGGGGGCTGAGCAGGGGATTTCTGGAAGGGGGTGCAGGGGTTTTGGAAAAGGGGGCAGGACATGCGTTTTGTAGAATGGCGGGCAGGACAGGGATTTTGTAAAAAGGGGCAGGGTATTTTTTTTAAAATTTACACATTTGTGCATTTTTAAAAAAACAAACATTTTAAACATATTGCAGGTATTTTTTACATTTTAAAGTGTAGGGGGGGAGACGGAGGAGGGGTATGCCAAGCACAGGCTTAGCCCCGGGTGCCAAATGCTCTAGGTACGCCCCTGCAGAAACATAATAAATGGTTAGGGGCTGAAACCATTTTGTCCGTCCTTTAACCAGATGACTAGTCAATTCTCACCAATTTATGAGAATAAATGTATCATATGACAGAGACATGATGTTTAAAAAAAGGATTTCAGACAGACTACAACCACGCACATAGTGCACCAACCAGGGTAAACGGGATCACCTGGGGGAGGAACAACACCAGCCCATTGAAGGCTGTAGAACCCTAATGGGTAGAACTGCAAATAGGGGCAAATCTATGAATGGCACTACTCCTGCCAGCCGGTGACCCTCCCCCGAACCACAACCACTGTAACCACACTAGTTAGGCAGCTACTCAAATACTAAAGCAGATGAGACTCAGACGGACAGGGAACTAGATGGCCTCGTCACAAGGACCCTCGACAGCCATGGGCAGCACAGACCCGAAGCCCTACCCCCACCGGGGAGACCACCACCCTAACAGTAAAATTGTATGTCTATGAATAAGAATACCTTTATTGTACAGAAAATCATATACTTGATATGAATACCGTGCACTAACCAACCTTTCTCCATTTCTGTAAAACCGTTATCTTTTGAAAAATGCAAAAATAAAGAATAGGGGGGGAAAAAAAGGATTTCAGGAGTAACAGGAGAAGATGACATTTTGAAGAATAGTGCTTGCAGTGGTTTATTCAGGCTAGGTTGCCTAAATGTCACTTAAAGTTATTTTCTAGTCACGTATACGTCATTTTATGGTTACATGTTTGCCTCAAAGCAACATCTCTTTAAAATATCTTAACATCATATGTAAATCTCTCTTTAAGTTGGAAGTATGAACTATATTTATTAAGACAAAACAATTTTGTGACAAAAGGTTACTTGTGGAGGTCAAGTAGCAGAAACATTTTGTAGGTTTCTAAGGTGATTAAGCGTTAGGATTAATGCTATTTTACTTGCTTAACATATGACAAAGTTTGTGTGTAGATATATCTATATATCTATATATCTCTCTCTCTATATATATATAAAGTCGAAGAGATGGTCTGCACTCACGGTCTTGGTAAAACATAACAATTAATATCTACATAAAAAAGAAATGTGATGCTAAACAGTGTCAACGTTTCAGTCCCCGTTCGGGACTTTCCTCAGGACAGCAGACCGTGGGTGCAAACCATCTATTTTTTGTAAACAAGTGACCATGGTCTGGAACCCAGCATCTACAACTATATTGCAATCAGCCTGTGTGCAGGGAATCTTTGGAGTTAAATAAATAAATATATATATATATATATATTTATTTATTTATTTATTTTATATTATTTATTTATGACAGACGTCAAATTGGTACGACAGTATACGATCACTAAGAAACACAGCCCGAAGATTCCAAACAGATTATACAATAAGTATTTATATTTTCACTGACAAACACATCTAAGGCTCTGTATATGTAAAAAAATATATTATAATGCATATATTTCTATCTCATTCTGTTACTAAAATCTAGTTCCGAATGAGAAGTTTATTGTTTGCATCCTTTCTGCAATTTAAAGAAAATGTGTTTTTAAGAAGGTACTTCTTGACCAAATTCTGCTTTATAGTGTGCACACACATACATTTCTTCAATAATGGGAGCTATATATCTGAAGATAAACAGAGTGCTTTAAACACTTTTAAAAGGAATATATCAAATTACCTGTTACTCCTTAAGAATCTTTGGAATGTATATTTTGGTTCATGATGAATTATTGTGACTTTAATGTAGAAATTATTACTTGACAGCAAAAACAAATGTATTTTAGGTTCAAGGAAACATTCTGAATTATCGCCTTATCCAAAAAATGAAAACATAACAGGACGTGGATAAAAATATTAACGGAGCAGTGCTTTATAAACCAGATTAACTGTAGCTGTGTGGAGGAACTGTGCTCACCCTGCCCAACTTGCGAAGGAACTGGTCAGGAAAACGTGGGTAAAAGTGACTTTGGTTCTAGATCCTGTTTACTTTGATTAACACAAGGAAAGAAAGTGAAAGATATTTTATTTCAACACAAAACATATGTCAATTCAAATAAACATAGCTTGAGGGGAAAGAAGCAAATTAAATTTATTGAAAATGCATTAAACGTTAATAAGTCATTACTATATTTTTGTTTGTTTGTTTTTTGCATTTAGCTCCGTTAGCAAATAGTGAATTGCCAATAAATGTAATTACTGTTCAGATATATGTGAGCGGGCTGAGCGTCTACCCATGAATTATATGTTTTATAACACACTATTTTTGCAGGTCATACAGTTTATTTATAAGTAGTGAGGCACCAAACTTGTTGGGCAACCTATTGTTTTTGTTCAAATTATCATCGCTATTATTATGCCAATTTTTTTCAAAACCTTTTTAAAACTTGGAGCAATGAGATCTATTGTGCTCCGCATCCTTTGCAACAAAAAAGTCATGGTCTATCAATCATTTTTATTTTGCAGCACAGTGGCATGGAATCTTGGTTAACACCTCTATAAGGTTTTCTTTCCAATCACACTAATGTCACCAGCACTAATTATTTCACAATTCACATTTCCATTAAGCCTTGCATATCACTGCAGGTGTCTCATCCGAGGTTTATCGATGACATCCTTCTGAACAGGAGAACTTGCATCTGCCCATCTGTTGTTATGTCTAATACATGATGGCATTTTTCTTATGAAGTACTCTACTGAATGTGTCGGAAGACCCATGATACAATGCTCTGGAAAACAGTCATAGACGCGTAACATATTTCATTGAAATATGCCTTCCAGCAAGTTTGATAAATGGAGGCAAAAAGAATTATGAGCAGAACCATTTTTAAAACAACATTTTATGTGAAATTTCAGTTTTTTTGCTTCAGTTTGTGTTTATAAGCGTAAAATAAATTGTCGTATGTGAATACTTTGATTATAAGATAGATATGCATGATAAAGGAGCTCTTAATAAAGGGAATATTAGCTGTCAGACACATACTTGTGGTTTTCTGACAATAAGAAGAAATTATATTGGCACTTATACTATCCCTTTAATTTAAACATTAATTACTACAACTATCCTCTTCCAATAAATATACTACCTTCATATGCTAACTGGTCATTGATTTATGTCATATTTTATTATTATTATTATTATTATTATATCATTATGTTAGTTCTCATCAGTTACATCAGAGCAGCTCATTATTTGTTTAGCAAGCTTTTCATTGGCCGTACATGACACCATATTTTGGACTTTTATGACACATTGCTCTGACTGTGTAATGACAAGGTGTCCATGAAGTTTGCCTTTTATTAATTTTGGCAGTCATGGGTGTAACACTACGTTTAGTCTACTTCTTGTACTTCTTCAATGGCTTCTCGTGTCTGGAATGTGGTGACTGTGAATGGCACACTGGACAAGCACCGTCTCCTCAAGTGACCAATCCTCCTGGGTGTTGGCTCATGGTAAACGGAATCAGGGACTCAGTCTTACTGACTCATAGCTGGCATGACACTGGCTGGTGCCAAGGCATTCCTCCCTGGGTGGGTTCGAAATTAGCATCTTGGCCATGCTCTGGCTTTCAACAAATTATTTTAAGGCTTTAGTTGTTTACTGGAATAAAGATCAAAATACAACGTCAATGTGGATGGGTGGGGGAAAAGTCAAATGCCTGTTAACAAATAAGATTTTCATGAAAAACTAGTATTATAAAAGTGTTTTCGATACAGGTGTTAGTTCTGCTAAGTCTATGAAAAATGAATTAATAAGTAGATTTTTTTTAAATGTATTAACATTTCTCCCTGTTGTGACATTAGGCATCTGATCCCCGTTTTTATATGGGTTGCCAAATTTATATGCTTTTAGTATCTTTACTTATACTTTACCTAAACATTATGTTGTACACCCTCATTAGCAACTTTATAAGGAACACCTCTTTAGTACTGTTTTGAATCCATATTTACCCAAATACTTTGTGACATAAATTCAGAATAGCTGGGATCCAACTAGCTATTTTGTTCCATGCTGACTTGATGGCGACACACAGTCCCTGTGGTTCTGCTGTTCCGTCTCTATTCACAAATGTTCTATATGAGATCTGCAGACTGTGTTTGCCATTGAAGGTAAACTGATGTTAGTACCATGTTTGGGGCACTGGCTTGAGATGTTGAATGTTTTGTGACATGCCGTATACCTGCTGAAATATCCATCTGAAAATGGATAAACTGTGGCCATAAAGTAAAGCACTAGCAATGCTTATTAATGCTGTGGTAATTAATTGAATGCTGAATGTGTCTACAGGGATACGAGCTACACCTCATTTCTCAAAAAAGGCTAAAACAATCTGTGTTGCTGTATCTCATGCAGAATGTACTTGAACTAAAACGCTTGCATTTATTTACAACATAGATCCACTCCTTTAAAGCAGGGGAGGGGAACCTTTGGCCCTCCAGATATTTTGGACTACATCTCCCATAATGCTCTTACAGCCATAATGCTGGCAAAGCATCAAGATGTAGTCCAAATCATCTGGAGGGCCGAAGGTTCCCCACCTCTGCTTTAAAGGGACACTTCAGCCTGCAAATAACTTTGGACCACTATCACCCAGATCATTTTATCTCACTGAAGATCTGGGTGCAGAGGTCTTGTCATTTTAATCCTGCCATGTAAAACATTGCAGTTTTGTAGAAAGTTAAACACACCTCTAGTGAATGTCTTCCTGACAGACACTTGAGGAGCTTTCCACTGCACTGGTGCCGGTGCCATTGCAGCTCATAGGAAAGCATTTAATTCAATGCTTTCCCATGAGAAGCAAAGGATATACGCGCAGCAACCACTGCATATGCCCATCAGGATACAAATACTCCTCTATGAATGATCCAGCAATGGAGGTTACAATGCCTCCTCAATGATGTTGTGGAGGTGGAGAAGTCAACAGTGCCAAGAGAATGTCAGCACTGGAAAAGGGTAACAACGTTTTAAAAAATATGTTTTTACTGCAAACAAAGATGGAACTTGAATTTAACTAGGTACAGGTACTACGTTTCCTTATGCATGACAAAACTTGAAAATGGATGAAGCTTAAAGGGACACTCCAGACTCCTAAACCACTTTAACTAGCTGAAATTCTTTATGTGTAAAGAGTGTGTCCTCTTTTTTTAATTTCATATAAAGTGCAGTTTTCAATAGAAATTTACACATTTATTATTATTATTTTATTATTTATGTAGAGCCAGCAAATTCCGTAGCGCTGTACAACGGGGGGGGGCTAACAGATAGGTAAATATAACCAGACAAGTTGGACGCACAGGAACAGAGGGATTGAGGGCCCTGCTCAATGAGCTTACATTTATAAATTAACCTTGTTACACCCCCCAACTTACAAGCTGATTGCTGGTCCTGTTACTTCCTGATTTGCTTAGCTCAAACGAACACCTACCTTGCAAAGACCTCTCATTGAGCTGCATTGGGAAGTCTGTGATTGGACAGGCACAGAAACCTGGGCTGGGGAAGAAGAGGAGGGCTTTCAAAGACTGCAGATAAGAGGTATGCAGTCTGTAAGCTGTTTTTAGATATACCTCAATTATAAAATGCATAATGAAATACATGCATGCTTAAATTCAGGATATATATCTACAAAACAGTGATTTGTGTTATTATTATAATTTTTTAAATTTGAGGAGTTGAGTGCCCTTTCAAGCAATATTATTTTTCTGTTACCAATCAAATTTACCCACAATCCCTCAATAAAATTAATTATTCACAAGGGCAGACATCATTCACGGACAGAAGAAAACAAAATGGAGGCACCCAGGTATTGAGTTACAGCACTAGGTAGAAAAGATAATAAATATAAATAAAGGCAAGTAGCTAGTGATTAAGTTATAGGGGGCATAAAAAAGGAAAAAACATAACAGGGTTGCTTTAAGGAGTTAACACTTAATTTTAAACTGATTGGTTACACAGAAGAAGATAATTCAACACTGTGACATTGGCCTAAATTTCCACAACTTAGTATACATCCCTCGCTGTAAAGGGGAATTATTAAGTTATAGTATTTCCATGAACTTGGAAATGTTTTGGTACCTAGTACACTTAATCTATTTGACTCATCTCATTTCCTCTATAAGACTAATTAATATTATATTTAGTATTCAAGAGATTGAGGTTTCAGAATACAAATGTGTTTTTCATATGTTACAAGACATCTGCGCAGTTCTTGATTTATTCTCCAATTCATAAACCGTCTTTTCAAATGGGGAAAAAGCAGTTGTAATCAAACTTATTTAACTCCCATTGAAAATCAGGTTTATTGTCAAAATTGACAGACTTTTAGCTGTTTGCAATGAACAAACCAAACAAAAGCAATTGAAATAGCTAAACACAACAAATGCTTCATGTGGTTTTCCCAAATTCAACTGAAAATGCAACATATAAAGACTTCTCCAGTCCTCAAAATTATGAAACCCCCAGAATAGAATCCCTCACAACAGTACAAATATTCAAAACCTGTGTTGTTTCAAGTACACTTGATGCAACTAATCAAGGACTTCATTAGTTGCACCAGGTGTGCTTGAGCGGGCTAGAGGTTTGTTGAATGTCATGTTTGACTGCATGTTAGAAATATGGCTAAGTCAAAAGAATGGTCCACAAAGTTAACCCCTTAAGGACACAGCTTCAGAAGCTTGTCTTACGCTTAAGGACACAAGCCATTTTTCCTTTTTTTGCTGTTTGTGTTCAAACGCAATTTGCATCTCTGTCATTTATTGCACCAACCCATATTATACATAGTTTTTTAGAGGACAAACAGGGCTTTAATTTGATGTCACATATACATAGATATATTCTCATTAATTATAAAAAAAATGCCAACAAATTGAACCCAACCCCCATTCCCCTCTCACCTCCCCAAACAAACATAATTTTTTTCACAGTTTTGGCAATAATAGCCTGTGCATAATATGTCCAGCTTAGAAAAATTAATTCAAAATAAATTAATTTATGTGTCTTGATTTTTAGAGTACATCATATGTATAGGATTTCAGCTTATTTTGAAAGTTACAGGTCACAAAATACAAGGAAGAAGTTGGTAGAAGTTGGTATGTTTGTCTTTTAGGTTTAGTAGCCAACACAGAAAAAAAAATTGCCACACAAAAGTAAATATTTATATAAAGTAGACATCACAGGATATTTAACTAAGGTTAGTTTGACTCTTTTTACGTAGCCATTTCATCGCCAATCTCTGCTAAATAGTGGAGTAAAATTGTGTTTTTTCTTTATTTTGGCATATACACATGTAAAAAGGTTTTTGTAATGTGTATTTTGTAAAGCTGGTGTGTGCTATTCCTGGGGGTGGGGGGGAACAGAACCCCATATTGTGTTATGCTACATCTGCTGAGAATAATGATATCCCCATTGTATGCCTTTGGCCCTTTTCTGTAAAGCTACAATGCCATATAAGAGACAAGGCTATTTCAGTTTCTATCGTTAGAATTTTCATAGATGAATTTGGGGGCGTTCTGGGGTTAACTTTACTGCATGACGGACCTGGTCCATTATTCGGTGTTAACTGCTTCCCCACCATGACGTACCAGGTCTGTCATCCAGCGGCAAGAGGATAAGAGAAGAGATCATTGCCCTTCACAAACAAAGAACAGGATACAAAAAGATAGCAAAGGCTCCCTAACCCTAACCCTACCTTAACCCTTACCCTACCCTACCTTAACCCTTACCCTACCCTAAACCTAACCCAACCCTAAACCAACCCTACCCTAACCCTACCTTAACCTAACCCTACCCTACCCCACCCCTAACCCAACCATACCATAACCCTAACTTTACCCTAACCCTACCTTCACCCTACCCTATCCCTGTCATCATTCATGTAATTTTACCTCCCTCTCTTTTTTTGCCACTTTTCAGAAATCCAAGGCACTTTGGCCATTCGGTTCGGTTCAGCACTTCCGAGATTCGGGACTTCGGCAATTCTGTTCGGTACTTCCGAGATTAGGGACTTCGGCAATTCGGCACTTCGGACATTCGGAAGCATTCAAATGTCCGAACTGCCCGAAATTCGTCCGAATTCACATTCGGACCGAAATGAATTGCACATGTCTAGTGGGTATTGCAAACAGCTGAAAGTCTGTAAATATTGACAATAAACCTTATTTTCAAAGCGGGTTAAACTATTTTGATTACAACTGTAGTTAGCATTTTTTCCCATTTAAAAAGACAGTTTAGGGGGACACACAACTTTAGTGAGATGCATTAGAGAATAAATCAGTACTCATGGCTAGTATGAATTGATATTGCTAAAATGAAATGTGTAAATCTCTGTCTTAGCCATATCTCAAGTAAGGGCCAATAATGACCCTCATTCATTGTTAAACAGCTTGGCAATATGCCGAACAGTGAACTGAACAGTGTGCCAGCATCAGGGGACTCAGTGAGATGAAATGGTTATAGTGCGTACAGTGTTCCTTAAATCTTAAAGGAACAGTCTAAGCAACATAACCACTACAGCCCACTGGGCTAACCCTCCCACACAGTCACAGCCAGTCACTCCCACCAAGATTGGACGAAATTGGCAACAACAATGGATAAGTAAACGTTCCACTTAATTGGTGCAAAAGCTAAAGAAGAATGATGCCCAGGACATCTTAATGGTTCATGTCAAACTGTTTCTAATCATTTTGACATTAAATCGAGGAACTGCGGCATCTAGTGAGCTGTAATGCTTATGTTGCTTAAGATGCACCTTTGAAGACTTAAATTAGTTGCAGGTGATTGATTAGTGGTCTAAGATGTTGTATATAATTTAAGTCAACTTTAACTTTAAGAAGGAGGTACTCAAGATTGTTGTGGTTATATCATGCCATAAGAAAAAAATAATAATTCCAGAATGTTAACGCTGTTACACTGAAAACAACAGAGGAATTTGGGTTAGTTAGTTAAAATAATACACCCTCTTGTGGTCATCTGGAATAGTGTAATCAAAAGGCATGACCATTTTTATAACCAAACACGCAATGCATTGCACAGTAATATATTCCATATGGAACAATATTTTTGCTTGAAACCAGGTCGTTCACAAAAATCCTGCAGACATCCTGAGGCCCAGCGTAAGTAAAGAGAACAGGTTCTCACATAATTTCCAATAAGATTAAGACACACAATCCCAGACAGAGGACTATTCATACAGAGAGAGTACTCATATAAAATTGCCAAAAAAGGGATACAGTTAATGAAATCACACAGGAATGTTCTACTGATTCATACCTAACACATTATACTTCTGACCCAGAACACATGGTGCTTCTACCAGCTAGGGCCAGTATGTTCAAAGAGAGAAGAGTAATTGTGTACTTTTATTTCTTTGTTACCTTAACCACATTTTTATCACACATGTAGAACAGGAAGAGAAGAATATGGGTGATGGCTGAGAGAGGTTTGTAGAAAAAAAGAGAGGAAATGCAAAAGCAAAATATGTACAAGCAATCCATTGAAGAACTATATATAAAAAAAAAGATAATCATCATACGAAAGATGCTCAAATATGGACATGCTAGGAAAATGTGGAAGTCAGGGCTAACTAGTCACCTAACCGTGGAGCATAACTAGTCACCTAACTGTGGAGCATAACTAGTCACCAGACTGCGGAGCATAACTAGTCACCTGACTGAGGAGCATAACTAGTCACCTGACTGCGGAACATAACTAGTCAACAAACTGCGGAGTATACTAGTCACCTAACTGTGGAGCATAACTAGTCACCAAACTGTGGAGCATAACTAGTCACCAGACTGCGGAGCAAAACTAGTCACCTAACTGTGGAACATAACTAGTCACCTTACTACGGAGCATAACAAGTCAAAAAACTGCGGAACATAACTAGTCACCAAACTGTGGAGCATAACTAGTCACCTAACTGTGGAGCATAACTAGTCAACAAACCGTGGAACATAACTAGCAGTGGGTTAGTGGACCACACCACCTGCCACATAACTCTGTATGTAGCCCTACATGTTCACTAAGCTATTCATACTTTTGAGACTATTGAAATATCTGTAAATTTATGAGTACAATTATGTGACTTACTGCGAAGCACTTTGATGGCCCACAAGGGATGAAACATCATATAAGTGCAATAATTATATTATTTTTTTATAGCTGTTAGTATCCTAAGGCAGAGAAAAAAGATGTAAAAAAAAAGTTCTAATTCTGATGCAATAATTAATCATGGGCTTCAAAGCAACAGTTTCAATTAATGTTTATTAATTACATGCAATGTTTGTACTTTAGTTTAAATATGGTCAATTATGGAATGTATTCCTACACAGCCACTGCAAAGAAGACAAGATGATGGCTAAGCTGTTTTGTTCATGTATAACCTAAGGTAAACAACAATTGCATGATTTTGCTATTACATAACGAAAAGTCATGATTTTATTAAAGACACGGAGGCGAGTATTGCATACTCTTTCTTTACTGTCCACCAATAGCAGCATACAGTAGTATAGGCCCCTCCCTGCACAGGTCCTGGTATAATAGGCAGCACTTCCCTTCCATTTCCCTCTTTCTGAAGATGCGACACTATACACAAAGTCCATAACAGGAACAGCAATATAGTCCAGAGAGAAGCCAAAAAGACGTATAAACTGCAAACCAAGAGGAGGATCATCACGTCAATAAACAGGGAAGTATAACTGGATAACTGCCAACCAAGCTTCATTCGCAGGGAAAGTTCCATACATGTTGAAGCCAGACATTCTGCAGGATCGGTTTAGGCTGTGAAAACATAAAGAACAGGAGCCCAGGGGTTAATCCAGTACTTGAGACTAACATCAAGGCCAGACAGCGCAAGGCCCCCCCAATATCTGCAGTGAAAGAACCCGATAGACCCAAACTGACATAGTTACATAGTCAAATCCCATCCAACACAGGCCCCACTTACCGTACCAAGCAAGACGATACATGTCATCTATACAGTGACATAAACTGGGGGGGGAAACAAGCTAAACATAACATGGGTAGAATAAATGGGTGGGACAATACTCGCCTTCGTGTCTTTAATAAAATCATGACTTTTCGTCATGTAATAGCAAAATCATGCAATTTTATCACAAGACACGGAGGCTCATATTGCAAGTAAAATTCCTGGAAAACCGATTCCCTCGACCAGTCAGCCATCTTCATGAGATCCTCCAGGCGTGCACCTGAAGCCATCATTGAAGATGCTGAGGCTCCCCTGATCGAGTGGGTGCCAAAAAGCGCAGTACCAATACCGTCTTGACAGAGTAGCCATTTAACCCAGCGAGACAAGGTGGTGCTAGTGATGGGTTTAAATGGAGGACGGATAGATGAAAATAGATGGGGAGAGGATGCAGAACGGTGTAGTTTGGTGCGATCCTCGTATTCACGTAGGCAGGCCACTGAACACAGCGCCGGTGTGGAGAGGAAACTCAGATAAGATATTGACCTAATAGACGTTTTGGTGCGTCTGCTGATATTAAATGTGACACCATCTGGGGTATAAGATCTGGCATCAAAGTCCAGTGCACGGACATCCGAGACCCTTTTGCAGGAGATGAGACAAAACAAACAGACCAACTTGGCCGATAGCTGTCGTAGGGAGAGCGCGGAATTAGTGGGACAAGAAGTGCGGAAAGATAATACCACCGATACATCCCAGGTCACGGTGTAGCGAAGCTGCAGATCGCGAAGGAGCCTGCCAAGAGTTCCAATGCGTTGATGTGGAGTCGGGAATCGAATACCGACCAGCGACCCCCTGTCGCCACACCCTCGCAATGAGCCCCCCAGCCATGGAAGCTCGCATCTGAGTCGATAGTGAAGTCCGGAGTGGAGCCGAAGATTGTCCTGCCGTTCCAAGTGGATAGATTGAGGATCCACCATCGCAGCTCGTCCTTCGTCTCGCTGTCTAGCGACACGAGGTCCGCATAGGATGCGCCGGCTGGTAGGTGAGCTATTTTCAGGCGTTGCAGTGAACGGTAATAGAGCGGACCCAGGAACACGGCCTGAATGGAGGATGCGAGGAGGCCGATGAGACGCGCCAGTTGCCTCAAGGTGAGTTGTGGCCGTATGAGAGCTCTGCGGCGCTCCTTGCGTATCGAACGAGTCTTGGACCTTGGAAGGCTCAGAGTGGCCGCCTCCATATCTACTAGAAATCCCAAGAATTCCATACGAGTGGCGGGAGTCAGGCACGACTTTCCCTGGTTGATAATGAAACCCAGGTGGAAGAGTAGGTTCATCGCTAGCCGCAGGAGTGCCAGAAGTATGGAGCGATCCTGGGCCATGAGCAGGATGTCGTCTAAGTATATAATTAGACGAATGCCTCGACTGCGTAGCCAGGCCATAGTTGGGCGCAGCAATTTTGTGAAGCACCATGGTGCTGATGACAGGCCAAACGGAAGGCAGGTGAACCTCCAAGTACCTGTCCGCCAATGGAAACGCAGGAGATCTCTGGATGCTTCGACTATAGGCACAGTGAGATACACATCCTTGAGATCCAGCTTTACCAACCAGTCCCTTGAAGGAGTAGGTCTCTCAGTAGATGGATACCCTCCATCTTGAAATGGCGGTACCTCACCATAGCATTGAGTGGGCGCAGGTTTATGACTGGGCGCATTTGGCCACCCTTCTTTTCCACTAGGAAAATATTGCTTACGACTCCTGTGGAGCCTGCGGGTGCCCGTTCTATCGCTCTCTTAGTGAGGAGCACAGATAGCTCGTCGTCGATCGACCTGCGATCTCGGAGGGAGAAGCAGATCGGTCGAGGAGGAGTGATACTTACAAGGTCTATGTGAAAACCGCAAATAGTGTTTAGTACCCAAGGGTCGGAGGTTATCTGTGCCCAGGCTGGGGAAAAATGTTGGAGTCTGCCCCCTACATAAACATGAGAAGAAACATGTGGTATGGGTAAACTCACCATAAGGTCATCTGGAACCGGTGTTACCCCGGAAGCCTCTAGATCGCCACGGGCATCCACGTGACCGGAAGAATGGGGAGCAGGTACTTGTTTCCTGGAAGTTGGAGCGGTGCTGTAAAGAGCCTCGTCCTGAGCCACGGGACTGAAAGTAGGACTGGCCGGACAGACGGCTCCTGGATCTGCTGGCCCTGGTGGAGACCCGTCCCTGGAATACTTGTCTCATGGATGCTTGGGCCTTGTCAAGGGCTGTAAAGGCTCCCACAAAGCTTCCCAGGTCTTTAATGAAGGAGTTGCCAAAAAGTACACCTTGGGCGTCCTTCCCAGCCTCTGTGAGGGCAAGGTTGGCCAATTTTGGCTCTATTTTGACTAAAATGGCTTTACGCCATTCAATAGAGAGGGAGGTATTGACACTCCCGGCAATACAACCATATGGTTTCCGGCTCTGGCATCCTCCGCCAGTTCAAAAAGTTTTGCCAGTGGGCCAAAAATGTCTAGGTGCTTATCCTGACATGCCTTAAGGGCAGAGTCTAGACCTTTATGTGGGTTCCAGCCCAATTCCATAAAGAATTGGGTCATTTTTGGGTCAACCTCAGTGGTATCTCAGACCTTATTTGGCACCATAGGCCTCGGGCACTCTGCCCTCAATTTATTACGTGCCGCTTTAGTGAGCGGGCATCGTACTCAATTTTCATGGTACTTGGATACATGGTCCGCTGGGAGCCACTCCGCCGACCTCGGATGGTGTAGCTCATCCGGGTCGAAGAGCGGTTCACTCAACGGATCCCCGCAGTTGCGGGACGAGGCGCCCCCGTGTCACTTCCGGACGTCTCTGCCTGAGCAGAGGGAAGGAGGTCAAGGCCCAGCTCAGCGGAATCAACATCGGAGTCGTCATCCGACTCAATCATAGCCTCCTCACCAGACCCGATATCTGAGTCGGAGTCACCATTTGCGGCCCCGGCCTGCGCGGCAAACCGCCGGGGCCGGCGTCCAAGGGGTACATCAGGTGGCCACCCGATGGATGTGGATTGTGAAGGGGCCCGGTCAGTGTTGGGTTCTTTAACAGCGCGACCGGGTCCCCTGTGATTACATCACAGAACTGGGAGGAAGTGACTGCACGTCACTCCTCCCAGCTAACACTGAGAGCCGCGCGGGAGGAATACCAGGGAGTCAGAGTGGGAACTCCCATCCACCTGAGCCACCACTGGACCCCAGGGAATGTCACCCTCCTGCACCTTAAAGGTAGGAAGCAAGAGGGTGACTTAAATATAATGTGTGCGTGTGTCTTTGTATGTATGTCTTGTGTGTGTGTCTTTGTTTGTATGTCTTGTGTGTGTCTGTATGTGTCTTTGTATGTATGTGTGTCTTATGTTTGTGTCTTTTGTGTGTGTATGTGTGTCTTGTCTTTGTATGTATGTGTTGTGTGTGTATGTGTCTTTGTATGTATGTGTGTCTTATGTATGTGTCTGTATGTATGTGTCTTGTGTCTGTGTGTATGTGTGTGTGTCTTTGTATGTATGTCTTATGTGTGTGTATGTGTGTATGTTTGTATGTATGTGTCGTGTGTGTGTGTGTGTGTATGTGTGCCTGTCTGTTTGTATGTATGTGTCGTGTGTGTGTGTGTGCCTGTCTGTGTGTCTGTATGTGTGTGCCTGTCTGTTTGTATGTATGTGTCTTTGTATGTGTGTCTTGTGTGTCTGTCTGTTTGTGTGTCTTGTATGTGTGCCTGTCTGTTATAGTGGGCTATAATAAGTGGGCTACCTAGCTCAGCCTTCCTACTGGGCATTGATATAAGTAAGGTTAAAAAATAGAAAAAAAGCGGAAAAAAAAGGTGGGATGGGGAATTGAGGAGGGAGAGAAGCTGACACACAGATGACAAATCATATTATGCGCAAACAGAGAAGTCGTCTGAATATCACCAAAAGAGGAGACCTTCATTTGTTCCTTACGAAAATCGAACCAGATATCAAATATTTAGTCTCTCAGCATCAACCTCAAGGATCTCATTAATCACTAGTAAAGGTAATTTCAATTTACTTTATTGTTTTCTCATTAAACTTTATAAAGTTAAAAACATTATAAACATGCATTAAGTAGAAATAAAAAGATAAATGTACGTACATTTATTTTTTGTAAAACGCCCTCCTTTCTAAAAAATATTCTGCACTTGCGCGAAAACTGGTGGGCGGTAAGGAAATTTTTCCATCAAGAAAGATGCATTAGTGGGCAGTAGGAAGAAAAAGGTTGACTACCACTGATGTAAACAAACACACGTATAGAGTGTATTTGTCTATCTGGGTGTAGAAGTGTGTGTATGCCTCTGTGTTCGTGCATATGTCTTTGACTAGTTATATGTGTGCGCAGCAGTGTGTGTTTGTAACAGTGTGGGTACTAGTGTAGGTAATAGTGTGTGTAACATTGTGGGAGAGGCAAACAGCATGTGTAGTAGTGTGTGTTTGTAATAATGTAAGTAGCAGCAAGGGTGTGGGAAGCAGTGTGTTCAACAGTTTGAGTAGCAGTGTGTATGTGCATACAGTGTAGGTGTGCGTTGCAGTGTTTGTGTTTAACAGTGGTGGTATGTATAGTGTGAGAACAGTGTGTGTACCTGCCATCACCTACCTAGCTTTATTGAGGTGGCCATTCTGGCTGGGAATCACTGGCCAGTGGAATGAAAATGTGGCACCCACAAGGTTTTACATGCCAATTCACCCTTAAAATGAACCTGCTATCCACAAATCATGTGGATCCCTGTAAAAGATAATTTAATTATCATTGTCGTACACATTCTCCCTGAAATAAGCTGAACTGCAGGGAAGATCTATCTAACTAAATCCTAGAATGTCAACTATCAACCAAGTTATATAATTAGTCAAATGTCCTGATTTAGAAAGTCAGAGTTATGCAGTGTGTATAATGGCAGGGGTGCATGTGCAGATCACAATTGGTTTTCTACCAGTAGATGGCAGTATGGCTCTTGTTACAGGGGATAATATTGTTTCAGAGTACTATTATTATTATTATTATTATTATTGCCATTTATATAGCGCCAACAGATTCCGTAGCGCTTTACAATATTAGGGGTAACTATACATAGCACAATTACAAGAAAACTTTCCTGAAGAGATAGGTTTTAAGGCTCTTCTTAAATGATTGAAGACTAGGGGACAGTCTGATGGCGGTAGGCAGGCTATTCCATAGAAAAGGAGCCACCCGGGAGAGGTCCTGCAAGCGCGAGTTGGCCGTACGGGTGTGAGCAGCGGTCAGGAGGTGGTCATGGGCAGAGCGGAGAGAACGAGGAGGGGCATACCTATGGATCATTGAGGAGATATAAGAGGGGCTAGAATTGTTCAGTGCTTTAAATGTATGGGTTAGCACTTTGAATTGACTCCTATAGGATACAGGGAGCCAATGTAAGGACTGGCACAGGGGTGATGTGTGAGAGGACCAACTAGAGAGGAAAATCAGTCTAGCTGCAGCATTCATTACAGACTGTAGCGGGGCAATACAGCTTTTGGGGAGACCAATCAGGAGAGGGTTACAGTAATCCATGCGGGAAATTACTATAGCATGGACAAGCTCTTTGGTCGCATCTTGCGTAAGAAAGGGGCAGATGCGGGCTATGTTTTTGAGTTGGAACCTACAGGATTTGGCTACAAACTGCATGTGAGGCTCAAAGGTGAGGCCAGAGTCAAGTATGACGCCAAGACAGCGTGCTCGCAAGGATGGACTTATGTGGATATCACTGACTTGAAGGGAGAGCGAGAGAGGAGGATCAGTATAAGGAGGAGGAAAGACAAGGAGTTCAGTTTTAGAGAGGTTGAGTTTAAGAAAGCGTGAGGACATCCAGTCAGAGATGGAAGAAAGGCAAGCAGTGACACATTGCAGGACGGCAGGGGAGAGGTCCGGGGAGGAGAGGTATATCTGAGTGTCATCAGCGTACAGGTGGTAGTTGAATCCAAAAGAGGCAAAAAGCTTGCCAAGAGAGACAGTATAAAGAGAAAATAGAAGGGGACCAAGGACAGAGCCTTGGGGAACTCCAACCGAGACAGGGCGAGGGGAGGAGGTATGCTTGGAAAAGGAGACACTGAATGAGCGTTGGGAGAGATAGGAGGAAAACCGAGAGAGGACAGAGTCACAGAGACCGAGTGATTGGAGAGTTTGAAGGAGGAGAGCATGATCAACGGTGTCAAAGGCAGCAGAGAGGTCAAGGAGAATTAATATGGAGTAGTGACCTTTGGATCTAGCTGCGATTAGGTCATTAGTGACTTTGATGAGAGCAGTCTCAGTAGAGTGGAGAGGGCAGAAGCCAGACTGAAGAGGGTCAAGGAGAGAGTTGGAATTGAGGAAGCCAGACACACGGGTAAAGACAAGTCTTTCCAAAAGCTTTGGTGAGAAAGGGAGCAGGGATATTGGACGATTGTTAGAGGGGAAGGACGGGTCAAGAGATGTTTTTTTCACGATAGGTACTACAGTGGCATGTTTAAGGACAGCAGGAACAGTGCCAGAAGAGAGAGAGCAGTTAAAGATGTTTGTTAGGGTAGGCACAAGACAAGGGGAGAGAGATCTGATGAGGTGGGATGGGACAGGATCGAGCGGGCAAGTGGTGGGGCGAGAGGAATGGAGAAGCGCAGCCACCTCTTGTTCAGTTGCCGGGAGAAAGTCTGAAGGGTAGGGAAGGCATGATATATGTGTGGTTGAGAAAGAGAACGGCAAGGAGGGGAGAATTGTTTCCTTAGCTGTTCAATCTTGTTGGTAAAGTAGCATGCAAAGCTATCAGCTGTAAGGTTAGTTTGAGGGGTGGCCGCAGCAGGGCGCAGAAGTGAGTTAAAGGTGTCAAAGAGACGTCTCGGATTGTGGGAGCATGAACTAATGAGAGAGGAAAAGTATGACTGTTTGGTGAGGGCAAGAGCTGCGCTGTATGAACGCAACATGAATCTATAATGGAGAAAGTCTGCCTGGGTGCAGGACTTCCTCCAGGAGCGTTCAGCACAACGGGAGCAACTCTGCAGATAGCGTGTTTTTTTTAGTATGCCAAGGTTGGGGTCGTGTGCTCCTCGAGGTGTATGTTTGGAGCGGGGCTGCAGCGTTCAAGGCAGAGGTGAGGGTAGTGTTATATGTGGAGATGGCCAGTGAGGGACAGGAGAGGGATGTATAGCAGTTATGAATCAATGTCAGCTGACAGCTGCTGGAGGTCAATAGAGTTAAGGTTCCTCCTGAGTTGAGGGGGGTTAGGCTGAGGTTGTTGGGTGAGGGGGTAATTGAGAGCTAATGATAAGAGGTGGTCATCAGAGAGAGGAAATGGAGTGTTGCAGATATTAGATACTGTACATGAATAAGAGAAAATAAGGTCGAGGGTATTGCCAGCTACATGGGTGGGAGAGTTAGCCCACTGCAATAGTCCGAGGGAGGAAGTAATTAAAAGTAGTTTAAAGGCTGCTGGGGTCAAAGGTGGGTTAATGGGAATATTGAAGTCTCCAAGAATTAGGGATGGAATGTTAGAAGAGGCAGCAAAGTGGTCAAGGAAGAGGAGAGGGTAATCAGGGGGACGATAGATAACGGCAATGTTAGCAGAGAAGGGTTTGAAAAGGTAAATTGAATGAATTTCAAATGATGGGAAAGAGAGGGAAGGGGGGGTGGACAGGGTTTTAAAGGAGTAGTGGGGTTAGAGGAGAAAACCTACACCACCACAGTATTGCTCTGAAAAAATACTCTAAATTTAAGGATTGTTGTTTTCATTTGCAAAGTGGAGTTGGATTAAGATTTTAGATTAGAACGTTAGGTGTACCACTCCCCTCGCAACACTTTCACATTAGCTGTGGGCTAAGTACACATGGCTACACATTTGCACATACACATCTGGGCAGAATAAAAAAATCTAAACAACATGGTTGGTAAATCTTACCCCTAAAATACGAGATTACAGCGGCCATGTATGTTCCAGCCATGTTTTAAAAGGGAGGTTGCAGTTCAGTGACATCTAGCAGTCATAGTAGTTTTATAAACGTTTACAAACAATGTGGGATGGCACCACAGACTCAGACACTACTGTAGTGGTAATAATGCCTGGATAACTCCTTTTATGTAGACTGTCACTCAGCTAAGGGAAGGGTGGGTATAAATCTCTTAAACTGTTCATCCCTAATGCGCTGTATAATTGTAGCCTCTGTCAGGTAGGAGGGTTTAGAGGGTTTTAGCTTTCCATCAGCAACAGCATGTCTCAACGGTGGTGTTTAGTTTCGAATAAGCAGGAGAAGGTCCTTGTGTATGTCCCAGGGGGTAAGCCAGGGTCCCTTCCTGCTCCATGCTGCCCTTTCTAGCTCCTTGCTGACCTTTTTCTGCTCCTTCTACTTTACCTTTGTGCTGCTTTATCTTCCAGCTCCTTGCTGCCCCTTCCTGCTTCTTGCTGCCCCTTCCTGCTCCTTGCTGACCCTTCCTTCTCCTTGCTGACCCTTCCTGCTCCTTGCAGACCCTTCCTGATCCTTGCTGCCCCTTTCTGCTCCTTGATGTCTGTAACGGAGCTCCTTGTACTCCGACTGAGGACCCTCCGTTGACGGATGCTCCTAGCGTTTCCTGAGGACTCCAAGCAGTGCAGCAGACACCACAACCACCGCAGACTCCGCAATCGCTTTATCTTGACTGGAATCTCGCCGTCTTCCTTCCACCCTGGATCAGCTTCTGTCCTCCAGGACTGTGTGGGAAAGAACTCTTCCTTCCACCCTGTAGGAACCGCCAGCATCCAGGACTGTGTGGTGAAGACTCCTCCTCCAAGGAGAGCGTGTCAGGAACAAGCTCTTAAAAGAGCTAAGTGATTCAAGCTCAGGGGAGCATGTAGAGCACAGCAATCCCCAGTGTGATTATAACAGCTCCCTCCAATAACGAGACAAGGTGAAATGGAAAAATCAATCAATGAATTGATTATTTCTTTTTGTATCTGCCCCTGGCCAAATTGATGAAACAATGCGTGCACGCTCCCTGAAGTAATTCACACCAGACACAGGTTCCAGGTTGTTGAATAACTTGAGGAAAGTTTATTCAGAGGGGATGGCAGGTCCCTTTTAAAGCAAAATTACATCATAAGCATTGTCAGAGATAACATGGAATAATACATCAATAATTGGTTAAGTGTTAAGTGTTTTATTCAAAGCACGTCCTACTGGGTGTGCCTTCTTATGTCATTACTGTCGTCATGAAGTTCTCCCCCCGGATTCCAGCGCCATCTTGAAAATTAGAGTGTTTGGTCGATGGGTGGGGTACTCCTGAGTGACATCTAGTGGTCAGTTTAGTAATTTATTGAGTATAACTAAATGGAGTAAATAGACATTTTACTAGCTAAAAATATGTCAATATTTCATTTCCACAACAGTCCCCCCTTAAAATGACTATTTACCATAACAACTGCTACTGCCCGCAGCTCATCTGTCTTAACAAGCATCGAACACTTCACTCCGTGGGTAACCCGCAGCGGCTAGTCCACCACATTTCCGCACGTGAGACTCGCCTGTAGAGACAGACGCTTTCCCTATGCTATCCCTATGAAAATGCAGTTGTCTGTCTGAATTGGTGGGATTGGAGGGGTGTATGTGGTGTGTCACATTCTAGGTCAGTGACGTCTTAGTGTAGTAAAGTAGGGGTTACGTTGTCTATAGTCTTCCCTACTGTCTTCTGTAAATACTTTTGTATGCAAGGTAGTACACAACAAGTTAGGATTAGAAAAATTATAAACACTATAAGGACTGCTGTCCCAACCTGGAATAGCGTTCTCTGCCAACCATTCATCCATCCAAACCACCTATCCCACACGTTAGTGACCCCTGAGTTGCGTTTTAGTTCATCTGAAAGGCTGTCCAGTTTTTCTATGGCCAAAGTTACTTTTCCATTGGGTCCAGTATTATCTGGAATAAATGTGCAGCAGATCATAGTCTCGGGGAGGATTTTACATACGCCCCCCTTTTCTGCTAGAATCATATTCAGAGCCATTCTATTTTGAAATGTCATTTGGGTGGTAGCTTGCAGTTGTTCTGCTAGGCCCTATAGGGCATCTCTAGTATAGTTAACAAACCGCTGTTGGTTGTAATAGATATAATTAATCCAATTAACATTCTTATTGACAGTGATTAATGGAATCAGGGATTCAAAGCCAGCGGCAACCTCATCCCTAGCTTTAAATTTGTTGGGTACCCCCCTTGGCACACCAATGGCATCAATATAAACATGTGGATCAAAGCTACCACGGATTGGGGCTTCCCTTTTGACTCTGGAGTGTGTGTGAGATCAAATGTATTATGATGGCCATCCGGGATAATATGGATACTCCATCAGGTGGTCTAATGTGTCCCTGAGTAATCGGGTAGACCTTCTTCCATGATTCACACATTGAAGAGTTAGTGGTGGATTGTGCATAAATGCTTAACAAATGTAAAGTCTTGATGTGAGGTTTTAGTGGGTTAATAGTCATATGTGTAGTTCCTACCCAGTCAGATGAATTAAGCATGTCTTGCAGGTAGAATGTCCCCAACTTGTTATGAGTCACCGCCCTTCCAGTACATGCCCATTACATACTCTTCTGCATCTCCTGGACTGGGGCGTTTTATGTTTAGGGTAAGTTTGACTGGGGTTGACTTAAGGTCATTCTAGAGAGTAGTGATTTCCCATCTTTGTCAATTCTGTCTAAGGCATTCTGAGGTCTATATCCCCATGATCTACCTGTGTTCCACGCGGCTGCTTTCCAAGAACTACAGGAATGTCCCCATGCCCCCCCTGCCACACATATGTATGGGTCTTTTTCGTCAGGTATGTCTTTGTATTTATATGTATAGCAGCGCGTTGTGTTTGTGGAAAAGTGCAAACAACAATATCACAAAAATCAAAGGTAAATGTAGCTACATCTGTGTTTGAGGAATTGTACTAAAAGGTGTAAACATGGTTATCTTTGGTTATGGCCACCTGCTGGGCCCCTGTAAAGTTTAGTAGCAAAAGAAAACATAAGAAACACAATGAATTCATGGCTCAGTAGGGACAGCTTCTTCTGGAGCAGGCACTTTCTTGCAATGCGAGGCGTGTATCCATGAACTTTTTCCGGCCAGCTTTACTGAGGTAGCCGTGATTAGCAGCACTTGGTAAGGACCATCAAATCTTGGCTCAAGAGTGTGCTTCCTGAGGAATTTCTTGACCATAACCCAGTCACCTGGAAGCAACTTGTGTGTACCTGTATTCGACTCAGGATCTGGAATAGAAGAAAACACTTGGGCATGGAGTTTGGTCAAGGCATGAGAGAGAACAGTTACATAATTTACCATAGCATCTGACTGAATCTGAAGCTGTCGGGGGAAATAACAACCTAACCTTGGTGCTGTACCGAACAAGATTTCGTAGGGTGATAAGCTGAACTTCCCTCTAGGGGTATATCATACGCTGAACAGTGCTAGGGGAAGACTCTCGGGCCAGGGCATATTGGTCTCCTGGAACATTTTAAGCATTCTGGCTTTCAACGTGCCATTCATGCGTTCTGCCTTACCGCTACTCTGTGGGTGATATGGCGTGTGGAAGGCAAGGGTCACCCACAGTGCTGACCAGACTTCCCGTGTCAATGAGGCAGCGAAGGAGGTTCCTTGGTCGCTTTCAATCACTTCTGGAACTCCGTACCGGCAGACAATTTCCGTCAGAAGGTGTTTGGCCGTGGTCCTTGCAGTGAGATTAGCCACTGGGAAGGCTTCTGGCCATCCTGAGAACATATCCACAATGACCAGTGTGTATTCATAACGTCCACTCTTTGGCATTTGGATGTGGTCAATCTGTATCCTCTGAAAGGGGTATTGGGGCTTGGCCAGGTGATTAGATGCGGTTTTAACAATCTTCCAATATTGTGCAAGATCTACAATAATTCTGTGTCAGAGTAGTAATGCCTGGTGCTTCAAAGTATTTATCAATCAGGGAGTTCATCGAATGTTTTGACAGTTGGGCTGGCCCATGAGCCCATTGGACAACAGCTGGGTACATATTTTTGGGTAAGCAAAACTTAAGGTTGATGGTGTAAACATCATCACGGAGAACAGCTCCCTTGTTCTTCCAACTTTGTTTTTTCCTGGGGAGTGGCAGCTGCTTGTTGCTCTTTTAGAAGTATGAGATCTGTAGGTAATGTCTGCATTGTGTAAATAGGTACTGTGTCAGTGGCCACTCTTCTGTCCACTTCCCACCCTTTTCGTGCTGCTTCCTTGGCGGCTTGATCAGCCAAGTGGTTACCTCGCGCTTCCTCTGAGTCTAGCCTTCCATGGGCTTTTACTTTTAACACTGCCGCTTCTGCAGGAAGCACCAAAGCATCCATCAGTTCTTCAATGGCTGCCCCATGTTTCACCAGAGTACCAGTGGCTGTGAGAAATCCTCTAGTCTTCCAAATTAGGCCAAAGTCGTGTGTCACTCCCAGGGCATATCTTGAGTCTGTATAAATATTGACACGTAGGCCTTCGGACAGCTTGCAGGCCACTGTGAGGGCTGTTAGCTCGGCTTCTTGAGCTGACTTAATTGGCTGGAGTACGGCTGCCTGTAGTATCTGGCTCTCTGTAGTAACTGCATACACAGTGTGATACTGCCCCTGTTCATCAGCAAATCTGGAGCCATTCACAAACAGTGTCTGGTCTGGGTTGGGTAGAGCAGCTTCGTGCACAGTTGGCAAGTGGGTAGTTTCCATCTTCATCTGTTCAAAGCAATCATGAGGAGTTTCTGAGTCATGTTCCATGGCAGGTAGATCTTCACAAATTTCTGTTTGGTATCGAGGATATCCAACTGTACTGCAGTTGATAATCTTCTTAGTTACTCCCATTGATTCAAGTTGTTCTTGGGTTGTTACACTCCAGGACTTGGCCATTGGGCCTAGATCTTTCCATGAGAAATCAGGGGACTTGGTGAGGGATATGTGTGGGATAGCTGTCTCCCAGTGACGGTAAAAGTGAGATACTTCTGTTGGGAGGCGCACCAGCAGGACCAGCACCAGCAGGACCATGCTGCCTCTGGAGTCCCATAGTAAGTCTGTCAGTGTGATGTGAATTTCCACAAGTTGAAACAGTGTCTCTTCATAGTCCACATCAGGGCCTGGGTTGTCTTTGAACCACAGGGTACAGTGTAACAAGTTCTCTGGTTGCACATCATGTGGAGGTGTAATAGTAGGTAGTTGAAATTCCATCCAGGCATCTGGTTTGATATCCAGGCTGTACCAGTACTGTGCCATTCCCCCCTTGGGAAGTGGCAGAAGAGTGGCCGGTTCAGTGAGTAGTAAGTAACGTAGATGATGCTGAGAGGAGAGAATCCTTGGTTGGGTTTGTTGAAGTATTGCAGAAATATCATGTGGTGCTAAAATGGTCAATGAATGGTCGAAGACAAAATCATTAGTTTTATCCAGGAGGGCACTAACTGTAAACACAGCCCTCAGGCAGGAGGGGCTGCCTCTGGCAGCAGAATCAAGCATGCGAGAGAAGTAGCCTTTGGGTCTTTGTCTGGAGCGATGATGTTGAGTAAGTACTCCGGAGGCTCCAGAGGCGTGGCCCAGTTTCTCAGACACGAAAAACTTGAAAGGCAGTTGGTAGTTCGGTAGGCCCAAGGCTGGTGTTGATGAGATAGCCTTCTTTAGAGCAGTGAAACAGGCAATGGCATTTGGTGAAAGTGAGAATGGCTCGCTTTTCAGGTCATCATATAGTGGTTGCATCAGTTGAGAAGCTTCAGGAATCCAAGATCTGCAATATGTGATGAGGCCTAAGAAGGCATGGAGAGATTGATGAGCAGAAGGAACTGGTAAATTCAAAATGGCTAAAATCCTGTCCTTGGTAAGGTGGCGGGTGCCATGGGAAAGGCAATGTCCCAAGAAGACCACTGAGGGCCGACACCATTGAAGCTTGGACTTAGAGGCCTTACAGCCTTCTTCAGCTAAGAAGCAAAGTAGGTCTTCAGAAACACGTTCGCAGTTTGGAGCTCAGCAGCACAGGGAAGTAAGTCATCAACATATGGAAGCAGGACTACATCTGTGTGAGTCTTTTGCCAGGGTTCCTGAACCATGGACATGGCACGGCAAACTGAGTGGGCGAATTCTGAGCCCTCTGAGGCATAACAGTCCATGTATATTGCTGGCCTTCACAAAGAAAAGCAAAGAGGTATTGGCAGGATGTGTCCAGGGGCACACTGAAAATGTATTGGCAAGGTCCACTACAGTAAAAATTGTGTCAGAGGGTGGGACCTGTGACAGTAGCGCATGTGAATTAGGGACCACAGCCGTATCCTTGACCGTGACATCATTAACTGCACGTAGATCTTTGACCATGCGGTATTGATCAGGCTGTCCCTTCTCAGTCTTCTTCTTTACAGGGAAAAGGGGAGTGTTACTGTAATACTTATTTTGTAATATTTCTTTAATTGGAACTCAACTGCAGCATTTCTTGGTTGCAACAACAATAAGGTTCACCTCCTTTTATATTGGTATGAAACTATGGTCACTGTACCTTTAAATATCCATGAAGGTAAAATTAGGCTTTGTAGCAATCCCTTATGAGTAAGAGGAATAATTAGACAAAGTGACACTTTAGTGAGTTTTAGATACTGTGTAATATAAATAATAGTAATTGACTTGTTTGGTAAAAGTATTACTTAACTTAAAGGCAGTTCTGGCACTGGAAGGGTTAATTCACCCAATGAAGGAGAAATTAGAAGTCCGTTTCAACAAGCTGAGAACTAGGAGTGGAGAGTGGGGAAGTCCGTTTTAACAAGCCGAGGTCTGGGAGTGGAGAAGGTAGAATTCAGAGTTACAAGCCGAGGTCTAGGAGTGGAGAAGGTAGAAATCCGTTTACAAGCCGAGGTCGAGAAGTGGAGAAGGTAGAAATCCGTTTACTAGCCGAGGTATAGAAGTGGAGCAGGTAGGATCAGAAGTAGAGCAGCTGATCTTCATGCAGCACCTGTGCGAATAATCCAGCCCTTTGAATCTGGCGCGGTCCTCCTAAGTATCGTGGAGGGACCGCGTCAGAGAAAGGGGCGGGGCTGAGCGCCGTGAACCCGGAAGTGGGTTCCGGCGATGAATTACATGCCATGCTATACCTGACAGTACCCCCTTCCCATGGGGCATCCTCTGGGTGCACTATTTCGGTTTGGAGGGATAGCGTTTGTGAAAGGCAGTAACTAACCTCCTAGCATGTACATTAGATGAATCTTCCCAAGTGTCTTCATCAACTCCATAACCTTTCCATCTGATAAGGTATTGTAAGGAGCCACGGTGGACACGAGAATCCAAAATTTTGTGAATTTCATATTCTTCTTCACCTTGGACAATGATAGGTTCAGGAGTTGTTACTATTTCCCTATAAAAAGGATCAGGGATGTGTGGTTTAAGTAAGGAGACATGGAATACTGGATGAAGTTTAAAACTTGGAGGAAGTTTTAGTTTAACAACGTTATCATTAATGATAGTAATTACTTGAAAGGGACCAAGAAAAAGAGAGCTCAATTTCTTTGAAGGACGGCTTGTGGTAATATTCCTTGAAGAGAGCCAGACAAGATCCCCTACCTTGTAAGGAGGGGGAATTCTTCTATTATTGTCAAAAAACTTTTTCTGGTTATTTTGGGCGAGTTGAAGATTCTCCCGTAATTTGAGAAATAGAGAAGACATAAATTCGTTTTTTGATGTAACAGTAGGATTGGATGAAGTAATGGTTTGGATGGGGAATGAAGACGGATGAAAACCATAGTTGGAGAAGAAAGGAGTCATTTTCGTACTAGAATGAATGGTATTATTGTAAGAAAATTCGGCCATAGGTAACCATGTGGTCCAGTCATCTTGGAGGTATGAACAATAACATCGAAGATATTGTTCCAAACATTGATTAACCCTTTCTGTTTGCCCATTAGTTTGGGGATGATAAGCGGAAGAGAGTTTGCGTTGAATTTGAAGGGAGAGACACATCTCTTTCCAGAATTTGGAGGTAAATTGTGTCCCCCTATCAGAAATAATTTCTTCAGGAAGACCATGAAGTTTCACAATATTGTCAATAAAGACCTTAGACAATTCTACAGAGGAGGGTAATTTTTTTTAAGAAATGAAATGGGACATTTTTGTGAAGCGATCCACAACGACAAGAATAGTGGTGAAATGTTGAGAAGGTGGAAGATCAACGATAAAATCCATAGAAATGGATTGCCAAGGTTTTTCTGGAATAGGTAAGTTAAGTAGTAATCCAAAAGGTTGATTATGTTCTGGTTTAGACCTTTGACAGATAGGACATGTTTTGACATATAATGCAATGGTTCTATCCTGGCGAGGCCACCAATAATATCGTGAAGTTAGTTCAAGTGTTTTCTTTATTCCAGGATGTCCAGCTAGGGGGGAATCATGAACCATCTTAAGTAATTTATTCCTAAGAATGGGAGGAATATAAATTCTATTTTTAAAATAAAATAGACCATCCTTTTTTGTTAGTATAGGTGTTTTGGGAAGTTCAAGATCCTTCTGATTCAAATTCTTTATGTCATCATGAAGAGAAGAGAGGATTCCTATTATTTTGGTAGAAGGATAATCATCAGTAGTAGTTTTAGAAGGAATTCGAGAAAGAGCGTCAGCCTTTTTATTTCTATTTCCAGGTCTGTATATTAATTGGAAGTTAAATCGGTTAAAAAATAGGTTCCATCTAACTTGTCTAGCTGTAAGGGTTTTGTTAGTATAGAGATATTCAAGATTTTTATGGTCAGTATAAACTATTATAGGTTGTTTTGTATCTTCCAGAAGATGACGCCAATTTTCGAAGGCAGCTTTAACACTTAATAATTCTTTTTCACCAATAGGATAATTTTTTTCAGCAGAGCTCAAGGATCTTGAAAAAAAGGCAACTGGATGAAGTGGATCTTGTGGAGTCTTTTGTTGAGAAAGAACTGCTCCGATGGCTGCATCTGATGCATCAACTTCAAGAACATATAGGAATGTTGGATTAGGTAGTTGTAGAATAGGTGCAGTTGTAAATCTTTTTTTTAATTCGTCGAAGGCTGTTTGTGCATCTTTATTCCAATTAAAAGGACGTTTACTACTGTTGAGGAGGTTAAGAGGATGTGATACATCCGAATAGTTTCTAATAAATTTTCTATAGAAGTTTGCAAATCCAAGAAAACGTTGTAATTCTTTTGTAGTAGTAGGAGCAGGCCAATCAATAATACATTTGATTTTGGAATTATCCATCTTCAAAGAATGAGGTGAAATAATGTATCCTAGAAAAGAGAATTCAGTAACCTCAAAAAGGCATTTTTCTGGTTTAGCGTATAATTTATGAGTTCTCAGTCTAGATAGAACCCATCTAACATGTTTCCTATGTTCATCCAAATTGTTAGAATATATTAAGATATCATCTAAGTAGATAATAACACATACATCCAGAAGATCTCTAAAGATATCATTGATAAAATGTTGAAACGTTGCAGGGGCATTACAGAGCCCGAAAGGCATCACTAGATATTCGTAGAGACCATATCTTGTCCGGAAGGCGGTTTTCCATTCATCATCCTGTTTTATTCTAATGAGGTTATATGCGCCTCGAAGGTCGAGTTTAGTGAATATAGTTGCAGTTCTTAACCTTTCAATTAATTCATTTATTAGTGGAAGAGGATAACGATTTTTAATAGTTATTTTATTTAAGGCTCTGTAATCTATAATAGGACGGATGGTTTGGTCTTTATTCTTCACAAAGAAAATACTAGAAGCAGCAGGAGAGGTCGAGGGTCTGATGAACCCTTTGCGTAAATTTTCATTAAGATATTCTTTTAAAATTTCTAACTCCTTTTCAGAGAGTGGATAAATATGACCATAAGGAATAGGAGCTCCGGGTATGAGATCTATTGGGCAATCATATACCCGATGAGGAGGAAGTGTTTCCGCTTCTTTTTTACAAAAGACATCTGCAAAATCGGAGTAGAATGGAGGTATAACTGGTTCTACAGTAGTTTGGAGAATAGGAATGTGTTGTAAGCACGTTTTTTTACAGAAATCAGAAGCAAAGGAGATGGAGAAGGGAGACCACTTAATTAAAGGATCATGGTTTTTTAACCAATTAATTCCTAGAATGACGGGATAAAGTGGAGATTTAATAATATCAAATGTAATGAATTCGAAATGTACGTTGTTGGTAATCATTCTTAGAGGGATTGTTTCATCTTTGATGGGTCCTGAGGATATAAATGAACCGTCAATAACTCTGATTGGAATAAAATTGGTTTTTTGAACACAAGGAATTTTATTTTTTGAAACAAAAGAAAAATCAAGAAAAGTTCCATTAGCACCAGAATCAA